CTGATTTCATGAGCCGCATAACTATATTATAACAACACAATAGCAATATATATTGAAATAAGCTTGTAATTAAGATTTTATTATATAAATTATGATACTGTGATTTACTTTTAGAAAAGATTTCCTGAAAAATATTGACAGTTGCAAACAAATCTTTATTCGAATGGTTTACTAACGTATAGCTATGCGCTAGAACGACAGCGAGACTCTCGATCCCCAAATCACGAAGTTCTTTTAAATCTTCTTTCAATTGTATCTCATCGAGTTCTTGGGTAATAAACAGCTCTTCGCCAGTAGAACCTTTTACCTTTTGCCATGATTGATTTTCCATATGGCATTTTCCCAGCAGAGCAGGGATTACTCGACATTTTACCCCAATTACATATTTGTACAAAACCTCTGGCATCGCTATCTCCTGTTAATATTTAACAAAAGATAAATCAAATAGATAGCGAGATAGAACGAATGATAACCGGAATTGTACAGAGATTGCATCGAGATAAATTTCGAAAGTTATATATTAGTTATATATTGCAATTTGCTAAATTTTAGAACTTTGAATACAAATATTGCGTTTGAATTCAATTATACGAACCAAATCAAAAATATTTGGCCGTGACTGATTACCAATATATAAAAGATCCTCGAAACCGTTATTTATTAATAACGCCATTTTCGCGCCTTTTCTTTCCAACAGCGCATTAGTGGCGACTGTCGTTCCCATTCTGATCCATTCTATATTAAAAGTATCCACCGCACCATCTATTTTAATGCCAGTTTCCTAAAATTGAGAGACAATTGTAAAAGGTATAAACATTTTTTTAAATCATAAAACTATAAGAAATATAATATATAATATATTTCATACACTCAATTATTATTTTATGTAGTGTCATCCAATTTTATTTTTTTCATATATCTTAACTCACAAGTCTTTTCTTACAATTTTTATACTTATAATTTATTTTAATTGTAACCAATATTGCTCTTGTCTATATTACAAACTGTCGAACTATAATATATAATTATGAAAAGACAATTTTTCTCGATAAGTTTCATAATACAAGAATATCATATATTGAATCATAAGTTTTCATTAATATAATGCATACCTCTTCCAATATTCTACGAATACCTTCTGTTGGCGCATCATTGTAATTATTCGGATCGACCGAAAGTAATTTCATAACTCGAATTTTACCACCAGGACATCTAGCATATATATCGGTGAATGTGCCACCGCGATCTATAGAGAATTGGAATTTTTCGTTTCCCATTGTGCGTTGATGTATGATATACACTAATAAAAAGACAAATTTTTCATGTTATTATACTGTGAAAGTAGCAATTCTTAAAATTTATGTAAACGACAATATTTGTCTTAAAATTATATATTGTCTTAAAATTTATGTAAACAATATATCCTTTCGTTTGAATTTTTAATAATATTTTGTATTTCCCATTTCTCTTTATATAAAACACATAGTATGTTTTTAAAATTATTATTTTTATTATGATTTACTTTTATATCAAAATTTTCGATATAGATATTTTTTTCACATTCTGAGAGATACACTAACTTAATACTGCAAAAGATATAAGTATGTACATATTGATAAGCCAAGTACGACTTCTGATAAGAAACTAATTTATAATCATTTACGAGAGAAAAAGAGAGAGGATTTAATTATTTGATAAAACATTTCAAAAATCTTTAATTGTATCATATAACTAATAAAAGATGAAATATTATATAACTATATATAATATTTCATCTTTTATTATTCTTGAGATTATCACATTATCTACAATGTGATATGTCATATTCTTACAAGTTTATTCCTAAATGACAACGTAAATGATAAATATCAATGTATTTTGCAATTCTCGAATACAGATGCCTAAATTTTAATAGAAGTTATATAGACTTTAATAAAACGTTAATAGACGTTAATAGACTTTACCTAATTAATAGATGTTAATAAACTTTAATAAGACGTTAATAGATATTAATAAGACGTTAACAGACTTTATCTTCAAGAGATAACAAAATACCAGCGACCGATAAAAATTATTTGTCAATATTTGTTAAAGGTAAGATAATCATAATATGATAAAGCTAAGAATAGAAATAGAAATAAAAATCATACTTAAAGTCACTCTTGACAAAATAATTGGAATGTAAATATCTGAAATGTCTGAAATATTACACCCCTGAATTTGAGAATTAAAATTATATCTTTTATTTGTTTCGAGATATTTAATTATAATTTTTAATTAAATATATATAGTATAATTCATAGAATACACTAATAAGATTTGATGAAATAGAGTTTACGAACACATTACATACACAACATTATATCACTTTACACTTTACTTTATTGTTTCTACAAAATTGTTTCTACAAAATTGTTTCTACAAAAATTAATCAAATATATAATCAAATATATACACAAATTCTCTTACTTTCACTTTCTTAAAGCTTAACATTTTTCATTAATAAAATATTAATTCCTTGAGCAAAGAAAAAGAAATTTTATTAAGCTCCAAAAGATAAAATACTTCAAACTTTTCACAATTCTCGTTTACGTTATGTATACGCACAAATATTGTATTTATACATCAATATCTTTACATTAACACGTCATCGCTAAAATTTCATTGTCAATAATAATTGTTGTAATATATAATTTTGTTATAAAAAATATTAATGTCACGATAGTACGATGTCATGATAGTATCGTTTAACACTAACCAGTCTTTTTTGATTTTACTTGCGTAAGTTTTATAAGTAGCTTTAACAGCACCGATCTACAATAGCGGAATAACTACACTGAGAACATGGACAACTTCAACGTAGAATAAATCCTCATGTGAAGGTTCTCAATCAAAAATCAAAAAATCAGCTGTTAACTACATACATTCACACATATATACATGTATACATATATATGTATGTATGTATGTATGTACGCTCATAATCATTACATTGCAATAATTTTTCCTTACAATTCTTAAAAAATATAAAATAAGAATTCTATATTTATTAAATTACACATCACCATATTTTATTATGTAAAAAATGAAAATATATTTTTTAATATTTTATAATATAAAATATCATATTTTATATTAATCATTTTTTTTACTATGCTATTCTTTGGTAGGAATTGATTAGCAAAAAAAGGAGAAAGGAAAAATTATGAAGAATTAATTTAATTTAATTTAATTTAATTTAATTTAATTTAATTTAATTTAATTTAATTTTAATAAAACTCATTATTAATAATTCTAATTCTTTATTAACAATCAACAAACAAAATTAAAAGATAATAGTTTCGCAAAATATATTTTTGTATATATATATATATATATATATATATATATATATATATATATATAAATTGAACTGCTTATAAAGTATAAGTTATTGCTCCTACAATGAGAATCACTGAACAGATACGGAGATTGCGCAAACCAAACCGTTAATATATCGGGTGACCAAACAGTAATATACAATAGTAGACTTTGCTATTACTTTTCTAATACAACTTTTCCTTCGAGAAATAGAATTCTTTATTCATATAACAATCGTACATTTTCAAAAATAGAAGTTAACAATGTTTGTAAAATATACTTTCAAATATATATGTACATATATCTTTTCGAAAATATTTTCATTTACTAATAGTGTGACAATAACAAAGCATAAATGACATATTTTATAATATAAGTTAATTTATAATATATAATTTAATAATTTATAATATAATTATTTTATAATATAATTTTAAATGAAAGAATAACACACATTTATGACTACTTAGATTATGAAAAATCATTAAGTAGTTCATTTATAAAATTAAGAGTAATCAGTATGTATCAAATAGCTAAAAAATAAATTTGGAATTCATTAAAAAGTATGTAATTTGTGCAATCATATGCAAACAGACTCTTTTTTGTTCAGATATAATTCATTGAATTGTAATTTAATTAAACTGTAATTAATTAAATTAAATTTTTTAACTATCAAAAATTACAATTTAATGATAAAATTAAGTTAGAAAAAAGGCAATCAGAGCCAGCGTAATAGATGGAACGCATATAACTTTATTGATTTAATCAAAACATGTAAATTAAAGAATATTTTTATACTGTTTTTGAACCGTTTTCAACGGATATTAAAATAGATTAATTGCATACAATATATATAAAAACAAAATATAGGTAAAATTAGATTTTGTCATTTCAAAATCACCGCATAAAATGCAGTAATAAATTTTTCTAACATTTTTCTAACCTAATTTTATGGTTATTTTCTAACAGCTTTAAAATTTATTAAAATTAATCTCTTATCTTAATTTAGTAGAATGAATTGATTTATGAATGATATATAAATTATATCAAAATATACAATTATACATTTACAAATTAAGACCTATAAAATCAAGAAATATAAGATCTACTATTGTACAATTTTTTAATGCATTTTAACATAAAGCTATTAATAACAACGCATATAAATCTTAATAAATAAATATTTAAAGTTCGGAAACTTAACAAAATATACAATTAAGCCGATGCAACTTTAATCAATAAGTTTTATTTTTATTCATTATCTTGATATTTATTTATTAAGTTTTTGTTCATTATCTTTGATATCCATTAAAATGCTTTTTATATTAATAAGTTACAAAAGTTAAATTTAAAAATTTTTTAATTTGATTTACTTTAAATTTGATATTAAGAATTCACAAATGTAAAATTAAATTCGTTTATTGTCTAAAACAAAATAACAAAGTACATATAAAATTTAAAAATATATAACTTTAGTAAGGTATATTCAATTTTCAAAAATATTCTCTTATCTTTTTAACAATATAATAAATTCTTATTATATGTATCTGTGTGTATGCATATGGTATTATATGTTCAAATAAATATGACTGTGTTATGCAAATAATTCACAAAATATAAAGTATTAGTTTTGATTATTATAATAAAAAATTATATCATTTTCAAAATACATTTTTGCACGAATATTTGCAAAGATACATATGATAATTAATTGGTCCACAAAATAATGATCACCTAACACTATATGATTAATTAACACTGAGGAAGCTTATAAACCTTTATATCCTTACATTTTGAAATTCAAATTCTATTGTGCCTTAAAAAGGAAGTATGTATCTCCGTAGGAAAACGTGTAAAATTATAACTGTATTTTTTCTTTGATAATATCATTGTAATATTTATCAGTTAACTTCACATAGGTATCATTGTTAAGAAAATAGATCGGATCTTTGACCTGTAAAAATTATTATTGTGTATTACAATTATCATCTTTATTATTTTAAATAAATTAATCTAATAAAACAATACTTACCTTTTTAATATCAAACGCATCTTGTTGGAGATCTTTTTTTTTCAATTTATATGTTCCTATCAACACACGCAACAATTCATACTGTTATTACATATACATGCTAAATCGCCTCCATCATAATGTTAATAAAGAATTTAAATATTTACCAGTCATTGGTAGTTCTGACAAAATGCGAATAAAACGAGGTCTAGCATAGGACGGCAAAACTTTCTTCAACTTGTCTGCAAACTCTTCAAGATTCAAGGAATTCTTGTCGTCATATATAGCAACCATTCCCGCTTTACCTTCATTTCCAGGTATCTAAAGGCATGATTATGCATAAAGAGAGAGAGAGAGAGAGGAAGAGAGAGATATTTATCTCTTATTTTTTTCGATTAAATCTGTAATTAATATAATTTCTATTTACCTCGACGCCATATACGGTTGCATCTTTAAAACCTATCACATTGCTGATGACTGCCTCCACTTCCGAAGTAGCAACATTTTCACCTCGCCACCTAATATTATAATTTTAAAAAAAATGTAATAGTATTCATTAAATTTATTTTTGTTTATTTGTTGATTTATTCTAAAAATATTTGTAATAATTTAATAATCTTTTACAGAATTCCCGAAACTTTAATAATTTAAATTTTATTATTTATATTATACTGAAAATACTTATATATAAATATGCGTATTTACGTGCCTAAATGTATCACCGATCCTATCTTTGAAATAAAAATATCCAAGTTCATCCATTACTAAAATATCACCTGTTAAAAAAAATTCAGTTAAATAATTCTCAATATATTATAATATAGAGATTATGTACTATATTTTATATTATCACCAACCAGAATTAAAGATACGATCCCCCTTTTTAAAGACGTCGTGTATAATTTTCTGGTCCGAAGCCTTTTTATCCGTATAACCAACGAAATCATTGATCGCTATTTTCGAATTAATTTTGCCCACGAAAATGCCAGGCTCACCTAAATGAATAATATAACAATAAAGTGCATGTATTTATATATTGAACTATATTTATTTGTTATATTTTTAATAAATAATTTGCCTAAAAAGAGTATTCTGTATCTAATGTTTAAATAAACTAGTAAATTCTTCAGAAAAATTTATAAGAAAGAATAATGATAAACTTTTATTGTTCTATTAATTGTAATATATAATCAGATAAATTTATATATATATATATATATATATATATATATATATATATAGGTATATATATATCTTTCAAAGACAGATTCCTGGGACATTTTCGCTGAGGAAAAATTGTCTCCAAATGATCTCACGAATCTGTCTTTGAAAGATTAATTATGAGTTTTGGGACATCCTGTATATATATATATACAGGGTCTACCAAAAGTGTGGAAACCCCTAAATATCTCGGAAAATATACGTTTTACAGAAAAGTGTTTCCAACAAAAGTTGTAGGGTTTAAGAAGATCTATATACTGATTCTATCAGTTTGACCTTGGATGGCGTCGTCAAGGTCAGGTCAAGGTCACATTGACTTTTTTAAATGACACCCCCTACATTTGATTGCATATTCTTATAGCTTAATTCAAGAGCTTTCCAAAACACTATAATAATGTTCATTTTTATTAAGTACTTTGCGAGTTATGAGGGTTGAAATAATTTCTTAATTTTACATAAACCATAAAATATCTAGTAAACCATTCATTTTTCGATTATCTTACCTTCATACTTTTATGTACAAATTAATGAGAGGAATCAATTGGTGTAAAGAAAACACATAGTTGTTTCTAAGAAAAAATATGTAATTTGCAATTAACAATTCCATATTTTTTCTTAAAAACAACTGTATGTTTTCTTTACACCAATTGATTCCTTTCATTATTTTGTACATAAAAGTATGAAGGTAAGATAATCGAAAAATGAATGGTTTACTAGATATTTTATGGTTTATGTAAAATTAAGAAATTATTTCAACCCTCATAACTCGCAAAGTACTTAATAAAAATGAACATTATTATAGTGTTTTGGAAAGCTCTTGAATTAAGCTATAAGAATATGCAATCAAATGTAGGGGGTGTCATTTAAAAAAGTCAATGTGACCTTGACCTGACCTTGACGACGCCATCCAAGGTCAAACTGATAGAATCAGTATATAGATCTTCTTAAACCCTACAACTTTTGTTGGAAACACTTTTCTGTAAAACGTATATTTTCCGAGATATTTAGGGGTTTCCACACTTTTGGTAGACCCTGTATATATATATATATATATATATATATATATATATATATATATATATATGTATATATGTATGTATTCGATATATGTATATATATATGTATGTATGTATTCGATATAATAATACAAAAGAATTCCTCTTTGAAAATTTTAGATTCAATATTATATTTTTATTGATATGAATTTTTGTTGATACATACCAGGTTTACAAGGTATGCAGAGTCCATCTGTTCCTCTCAATAAATTCCCTTCTTCATCAATTTTCAACAAAGCAACAGGATACACATCCTTGGGAACATATCTTGGTAGAAAACCAATAGCACCAGTTTTATTGTTTATATTGACTACAAATTATATTTCAAAATTATATTTCGAAGTATTTTTAAAAAGTAACTATATATTCGATAATTATAAAATTTCGAGCTAGCATTTATCATTTTTATTACTTGTTAGATGTATTCTCATTTGTTAAATACATAAAAAGAAACTTAAAACATTAAACTTTCACTATTCATAAAAATAAATTCAAAAATTGTGATCAATTTATTAAATTTTTATTATGTCTAATTTATTATTATATTTTGATATACTTTGAAAACGGATTATATAAATTTTTCTAAACTTTTAACTGAAAGCATGTAAATTACTGAGATTTGAATTTCCCTCGGTGGCTCCATAATACTCTCCTATTTGTTTTATGCCAAATCTCTTTACAAAAGATTCCCAAATTTGCGGTCTCAGACCATTCCCAAACATTAAGCGTAATTTATGCTTTCTGTCATTTTGACTTGGTGGAGCCATGAGAAGAAAACGACAAATTTCTCCAATATATATGGCTATCTAAAATAAAATTTGCATTTTTACTTTATTATTATCTCATTTGAAAATTTTTGTATAACGTAATTTAATAAGATATCTGTGCATTCTAATTTATATGATACAATTAACATAAATTGATGACATATAAATGTAAAATGTTGCAATCTACAGTATAAAAAGTATATAATTATTATATTATCAATTTTATTATTAACAAATTATATATATTATCAATTTTATTATTAACAAATATTAAAAAATCTCAATAAGCAAATATTTAAAAATATAAAAATTCAAAATTCTTTTATTTTACAACATAACCTTTCCCTGTAGCTCAAAACTAAATTATTGCTTTGAATATTTCTGCCACAAATTTCTAATAAATATTTCAAGGCATTTTATTTACTTTCCGATTAATAAATCGGTACAAAAGTTATTATATATATTATTTATTGTTCACACAAAAAATTAAATTTCGTATCATTAAGTAAACAAATTCAACTAATTTAATTTATTTTTTGTTTCGAAATTTTTTGAGAGAGAAGTTTATAATAGACATGTATAAAATGATTTTTTCAATAATCTTTTATGTTAAATTGCAAATTTTTAGTAATTAAAGAACTATAAAATTGTATAAAAAAATAGAGTGATCATACAGTGCATTCGTAATGGATGCAATCTGACCAAAACTTAGACACACTGAATCGTCTACGAAGCACGACTGTCACACCTCGCAAAAGTGCTTGACCTGCTCCAATTATTCCACCTGCTGTGTGGAAAAGAGGCAAAGAGTTGTAAAGTCGATCATTAGAGCGTAAACCAAGCAGTGAGTTTACACTACATGTTATTAACATGTACCTGAAAAAAGCACATAATTATCTGTTTCCATTTCTTGATTTGCGTGTGTAAAGCAATACATATTATTTTTTTGTAAAAACCATTGTCTTTTTCACTTAATATCTTGCATTAGAGAAATTGTATTTGTAATGATCTAGCTTTCATACATTTCATATTAATAATCTTTTTTTAATCACAAAACTGATTAGACTACATGATTTTACCTCAAATTAGTAATAACAGCAGCCTTTGGCATTCCCGTCGTCCCAGATGTATAGACATAAAGCAATTTGTCTCGAGGACTGCCATAGTCAAGTTGGACAATGAGAGGTGCAGGATCAATGTTACTGATTCCATTGTTGAGATCTATCGTCTCTTCCAGAACCGATGTGTCCGACTCCGACCATTGGTAAAGCTCGATGTCAGGTATTTTATTCTTAATGTCACGAATCGCTGTACACGATACGCTTGGATAAGCAATGTAAACGAGTTTTGAGTTTTTCACTCATAAATAGAGAATTTAGAAAGCTGTATTTGCTAAAGAAATTTAATGAAAGTTGAGAAATACACAAATAGAACGTTTAAAAATGACGCGATGTTGATATTTACATATAGTATTTTGCTGCAATATAAGAGATAAATTATATATATGTAATATGTAATATATATATATATATATATATATATATATATAACATTTTCTATTTTTTAGAAATAAAAAACACAATTGTCTTATTTTTAGATATTCTTTACGCAGAAGATATGAAATCCTATTACACGTGTCATGTATCGTGACATGTGTAAAAAGTAACAAGTATCATCGTATGCGATATTCTTAGAACACCATCGTGATCAGGTGTCTCAGGTGAAAATGTAATAAGATTTTGTATCAGCAAAATACAAATAGTAACACGATACATATTTCTCTTTAAGTCATATATAGGATGGTCAAGAAGTTCTTCAAAGTGATTTTGTACACTATAGAATACTATATAATATATAATGATGCAAAACACAACAGAGATATCACACGTTTCCGTTTTAACGAGTGAATAACAAATATACGAATCTGAATAGGTAAATATATATTCTGTGCTTACAAATGAAATCTTGCCTTCTTTTTGCTTTCAAGTCAGAATTTATCATTTTATCATTTAAACGTAAACCAAAATAATCTTACCATCCTTGAATTCGGATCCGAAGATGATAGCTTTACAACCGGCAGCATTGATGCTATGTAGGAGCATATTATGACGGAGATTAGTATTGATGAGAGCCGCCACTAAACCGGCCTTAGTGAGACCTAACCAGGTACCGATGTATTCAGGACTATTCTCCATAATCACAGCTACACAATCGTAGTGAGAAAACGATCTGGTGCGAAAGTAACGTCCGATACGATTGCTGAAGTGATCTAGCTGTATGTGTATTATTGACGATCATTATATTAATATAGTATAAAAAATATATTAATAAAAATATATTAAACATAATAAAAATATTAATATTAAAAAATATATTATTATAAATTTAATAATTTACAAATAAGATATAATGTTTTTTATTTTCTAAGTATAATGCACCTTCAAAAAACATATTGAAAGAATATTGATCTGATCATTCCAATTTTTTAAATTTAACGAATTTATTAATTTTTAAAAACTGATTATTAAACTCTTTTTAAGTTATGACCAAAAATTTGCAATTATATGTATTGCAACTGTAATCACTGCAACAATCAATTAATTAAATCTAATAGGTTCGCCTTGACAATCATTGACACAAGTGTTAAATGCGCAGCACGGTGCAAACGTACGAGTGCAAACGACCTACCTCTTGACTGAACTTACCTCTTCGTATGTCCACTTTTTATCTTCGAAGATGTAAGCAATTTTTTTCGGATTAGCTGCTGCGTATTTTGCGAAAAGTTTCGGCACGGTGTATTCACACTTTTCCCACCACCAAAGAAGAATATTAATTTGAAAAAATCGGTAAGCACCTCTGCAAAAAAATAAAAGATACAAAAATCAATCTATTTTTTATTAATATATAATTTAATGAATATATCTAATTTTTAGCTTATTAATTATCTAAGAATTAATTTTTGCATATGTAGAATTCTTATGTTATGTGTATCAATAACTTTCTTAATCTAATCGTAATAAATATGTCAATTAATTTTATGATTAAATGAAATGATAATATCTAAAAATATTCTATTTATAATTAGATATTGTTCAAAATTTAATATTATATTGTATTTATATAATTTAATATTTTATTATATATTTATAATGAATTTATTATTACTTCTTTTTCTCTTCTTCTTTTTCTCTTTATCTTCTTGTTTTATAATCTAATATTATATTAATTAATTTTGGGAAAAATAAGAATCGCAAAAATAAATAATTTGCCAAGAAAAAAAGGACTATGTATCGATTTCTTCGACTTTCTTTTAAAAAAATTAAAAAAAGAAAGAGCAAAAAATAATGTTTCATACATTATTTTTTGCTCTTTACTTATACTTTTTAAGTTAATAGTATAGTTTCCTTGACTCACTATCTTTTTTTTCGCAATTAATTAATATCTCTACGCGATATGCGCATGACATGTCATGCGACTGTAACTGCTCTAATAACTGGTAACATATAAAAAATATAAATTTGCTGTTGCAATTTCACATAAGATATCTCTCAAGAATATAAACCGGTACATTCTAATTTATGTAATCATATATAATTAATTTTATTTTAATGAATCTTATTTTCAGTAATAATATCGAAGAAAAGAAAATTTAAAACGTTGAATTACAGATGCTTAAGATAATAGGCTTTTTATATCTTAAATAATATCGTAAAATGTATACTTAAATTGTAATTCTTATTATTGGAAATTGCAAATTATTATATATTTTATGTAATTAATTATACGTGAAATTTTTTTATAATTTTTTAAAAATCTTATCCATTATTATTTTAATTATCGATATTGATAATAATATCAAAATATTGTCACAAATTATATTCGTAAATCTTTATATGTATACAAATCTTTATAGAATTCGAAATATATTTAGATAAATTTTATCTTTACATACATATATATATAGTGCAATTACATGCGTGTACGATATGAATATAGAAACTAAGTTATAGAAATATAGAAACTATGTTATAGAAATATAGAAATTAAGGAAAAATATAATTTTATTATAAAAACTAAATTTTTTAAACATGCATTTAAAGTAAATTTATAATCTGATAAAGATTGTACGAATGTTATTTCGGCTTTAAACTTAACTTTAAGACTTAAACATATGTCTATTTTTATTTATTTAAAAAGAAAGATAGGCACATATTTAGTTTTATTTAAATTATGATAATTGGCCGGCCTTATCTATAAGTGAAAAGTATATACGCATGTTACATATATAACTTTTATAATGCGATCTTTGCACTAACAGCACGTAATATTCTACATAATGCGCAGAATATACGTTTAATACATTGAAATTAAAGCAATTCGAGAGATTGATTGCATATCATATATACAATTATCTCTGTTGGAATGTTATGCATTCATGAGAGATACACACAAAAGAAATACATAGATAGAAAAAAATATGAAATGGTATATTATTTTATTATAATTGTTATTTTACTTTTTTATTAAAGAAAGAAAGAAAGAGAGAGAGAGAGAGAGAGGAGGGGCGAAAAATTAAAAATTAAAAATTTTTAGGGGGGAAAAATTAAAAATTAAAAATTTTTTTTAAGAATAATTTTATAAGAAAAAAATATACGATCATTATACAACTGTTTTATAAATTATAAAAAATAAATCTTAAAGTCTAAAATGTACATATTATTTTTTTTAAAAGAGCAAAATATATGCGCATTATACGACTGCTTTTTATAATTGTAAGAAACATCTTCAAGTTTAAAATTATGCATGTATGAATATATAAAGCAAAGTACAGTATATTGTTTTCCTTTAAACATTACTCAAATATATATATAAATATATATATTTGAATATGTTTGCTACTATTATCTTATCTAAGTAGTGAATTGACAATATTGACGATATTAAAAAAAAAGTAATCTTTTTTTCATATACATATGCAAAATTAATAATTTAATCAAAAAAACAATACGTAAGATATTATTAATAATATTATTATATATTATAATCCATATTATATTATAATTCATTATGTTAAAATTTCTTGTAATTAAAGAAACTTTCCTAGCTATCATATCCTAATTAAAAATATATAATTTCTAAAACAGTATAAAATATTATAATCATATTTTTAAAATTGAATAAAATATAAAAGACTTGGCAACTTTTATAATATAAAAGTAACATTATATAAAAATTTTAAATAAAAATGTAATATACATTATAAGTAATTAAAATTTTTATTTGTTTATCGTATATATAACGTATATATAAGATATTATTAATGCAATCAATAGTTGTAGATGCTAATAATGCATAAATTAAATTTTACAAATTAGTATTAGTGTAATATAAGAAGTTATAATAAAAAAAATGAAAGGTACATGTGAAGAGCCCTTGCGAACTCCTTTATCCTCATACACATGCATTCCAATGTCAAACGAAGCATTAAAGTGAAAGCAACGAGCAATCATGCATCTCGGGCAGTGAACGCAAATTATTAATCCATAACATAATGTGAAACACGAAAGCCTCTTGCAACTTAAACGCGGTTATTTTCAGTGAAATATTCTACATGCACGAATTCTTTAATATATTTAATATATTTTTAAATATATAAATATGTTTTTTAGAAATGAGTCTGTAAGAGCACTTTGACACATTCTGTTCATTGTAAAGATGAAAATAACCTATATGAACGTAAGCTTAGAGAAACGTTTTCTATCCAATTTTATGCATGTTTTTCATTGACGTCTCATGGATTGTTCAAAAATTCTCGGAGTATTTCGTATTTTGTCATACGAAGTAAAACTAATTGGAGTACTTCCACAATAGCAATATGAATATCATAAATAAGAGTCTGTATTAATTTCAATTTCAAACAGATCTATTCAATAACATAAAATATTATTGTTTATTTTTAAAAGATGCAGAAAATCCATAAAATTTCGGTCAAGATATATTATTGTTATAGATAAGAAATAGTTATATAATTAATAGATTTGTGATAAACAAAAAACAGTTTAATTTTGAAAAAAATGGATGTTAAATTTCTTTTTTATTCTTACGCGCAGTGAATATATAAAATAGAATATACTCTTAACTCCTATTTTTTAAATATCTTGTAATGTCTTTTAAATATCTTGTCTAATATACAGTTTATCAATTAACTAATCTGCAACGATTATTTTATCAAAAAATTAAATTTAATATAAGATTAATTAATATAAGAGTATAAATATTTATAAAATACTAGAATTAAATCTATATCTGTGTATATTTTATTTTAATTAATTGTATCATTAGTATTGGTATAACAAATATCTTATAGCAAATATTAGAAAAAAATTGAACGATTATCATTACTTTATATTTTGAATTAGTTTTACTATAGAGAACATTTTTCTGAAAGAGAGAGAGAGAGAGAGAAAAGAATAGAAATAAGAAAAAATATAAATAAGAGATAATGGAATAATGGGATAGTAGAATAATAGGACTTATATAAGAAATAAATTACATGTTCAAATATTCTCTAACCTACTCTTTATCTTATTCTTATTTACAAAAATAACGGATATAAACTCTCATCACTCTTGTGCATTACATAGAGCATTTGTATCTATACTCTCTCGCCTACGCATGTCTTTACATTTATTTATACTCACATAATATCTCTAGGCAGTGTTTTGTACAGCACATACATGACTCGCCGACGGCTTCCGGTAAAGAGAAAAGCGGCGAGCAGGATGCTCAACACGGTGATAATGATTTGATGGAATTCTGTCATAATTATTTTTCGCACGTTTTCTCGTCTTTCAACGGTTCACCTCGATAATTGACAGCCTACGACTTGGAAATGGCGCCAGTGTCAACCGGTCGGTCGCGTTGGCTAACAAACGCCGGTCGTGAAAACGCTCCGCTGGGTTCCTTACGACAACTGGTAAATGCGAATGTCGCGATACGACTGAAACGGAACTGAAGTGACTTCGACATATACTGCGAAGTCTGTGTCTCCCCACGTCTACTATGACAGAACCATACAACATGAGTAATCATCGGGATTCCACTAGCTCTCCTCCGAGGCGGTGGAAATGGTAAAGCTGATACAGTATGCTGCAAAGCATCACACATGCGCGAAATCTTTCACGAAAGCCAAGTTTGCGAAGGCGGGTGCTGTGAAGAGCGATGAGATGTAGATTTTCGATCTTTTTTAATTAACATCCTATAAACACACAATATTCCTAGAATATAGTATATAATTATTATCAACTGTGTTAATAATATTTATACAATATTCTAGGAATATTCTGTCTTATAAGGCATGCGCTAGATTCTCTTTAAATATAACTCCAGTTAAATAAACAATTCTTTATGAATTTTTTATATTCTTAAATTACGTTAATTAATGAGAAGTTTAAACAGATTATGCTTTTAAATTTCCTTTATCTTTTCATTATTTTATTAATGTAATTTAAAAATATAGAATGTTTGCAATGACCGATAATATTGTTAAAATAACTTACTAACTTAAAATAACTTATCATTGTATTAATCAATACTATTAATATTCCGTGAGTGTCTGTAGTTGAAGGAAATACAACGAATAAGTGACAGAAATAATAATTAGAAGATTAAAAATATTGATTATAAATTCTTTTTTTTTTTCATAAATTTTGATTTAAATGATTTATGATATATTGTGGGAAAGTTGATAAATAACAAAATACACATATTAATACAGCGATGCATGTCACTAAAAATTATTCACAGTGATAACGCTTTTAGCAAATCGATTATTTTGAACTTATCATGAATCGTCTCGCACGCCTGTAGCAATTTGTAGATCACTACATTATATAAAACTTGTCACGTACATTGCTCTATAACATATTCACTTTCCATTGCAAAATTTAATGAGTTACATCATGAATTATCAATAAAGTTAAAGAATGAATGTGTGTTTAATTTCCTGGCTGAATAACTTGGAATTTTTTTTCTGCACATATTTATAACTATTTATTTCTACATTTAATTACTATTTAATAAAACATTTTAAATACACAAGAAGTTTACTTATTTTATACTATTTTATATTTTTATTTAATATAAAATTATATTTTTATCTATAAAATATTTATCGGTTTTAATTTATGCTATCTTTTCAAAAATAAGTATTAATTTATTATATGGAATTTTCGGTTTTTTTCTCAAGAAAGCAAGACTAAATTTTGAAAAATTTATTAATGTTGTAAAAATAATATGGAAAATAAATAAATAATTATGTAATGTTATACATTCAAAACCGTTTAAAATTTAAAAAAATACTATATCTTATATTAATTGATATATAAAATAATATGTAGCACATATAAGTAATTAACATCACCAATTGACAACAATAAAATATCATTAAAATGACAACACGTGTTATTTCTTTCTATGAATATTGCAAATCATCAAGTCGCAGATATCAATCCTAGTTATCTGCTAGTCATGATCTTTGAGATATGAGAGATAAACTGTGTTTTTCAATACAGAAGATTGCATTTTAAAGCAATTTCTTTCTAAATATTTTCCAACACAAGTTTGTCAAATTTATCAAAATGTAGTATGAATTTTGTAAATTTACTCTCATAACATACACTTGCATTACTCGCAAAAAATACATGATAAGGAAGAACTATTGATATACATATACATATATATTTTACAATTCTCATCATTGATATTATGTTATCAGATTATAAATCAGATAAAAAATATGAAAGAAAGACAATAGAATAGAATAAAGGAGAAATAATGTATGCTGTTTAAATAGAGAGAGTGTGTGTGTGCCTCTACTAAATAAAAACATAATCTTGTCTTGATGATGTGAAATTGTAAAAAGCAATGTATTTTGTTTCTAATTTTTACAGATCCATGTAAAAGTTAGAAACAGAATATATTGCTATCATTTTTCGATTATTTCTTTGTGTAACGCATTACTAGACAAATACTTATTAGGTTAGATTATTAGATTAGAGGATTATTAAATCAGAACATTATTAGATATATAGTCTTTACAATGATATAATGTATAAAAATAACGAGATTTACACGAAAATAATAGAAGATATATTTATACAAACTATTATATTAAATATAATACATATATAATTAATTTATGGGAAGAAAATATTTATGTACAATGATGTAGACAATAGATTGGCGGTCCCTCAATCAAGCATCACGTTCACGCATATTTCACGACGATGGATACTGAAAAAAATAAAAAAAAGATTGAAAATACTTCACATTACATATTGACGACAATTACATAATAAAACTGCAAATTACAATGCTATTAAAACACAGAAAATATGATAAAAAGAAGTAAATGAAGAAAATTTTGATATATGTGCGCAGAGTAAATTGCAAATTACGCATGAACATTGCGTAACACAATAAAAACAAAATTTTAACGACTTTCAAATACGCGATTATTATGGCCTCTGAACAAAAACATTATTATGCAGAGTTCAGGGAAAATGTGAAAAGTCATGTACCTTACAGTGAATGATCGAGGCTCGAAACATCGTACTCGCTATCTGAGAACCAGGTAAAGCACCATGATGTCCAAAACTGAAAACGACACGCGCTATCTAACTAGATAATACCCCAAAAATTAACTGAATTGATTTTGATTTAATTAAATATTTCAAAGTTTTTTAAAATCTCCGATTTTGATTCGAAAATAAACAGAAAGTGACTCACGTTTATAGACATAAAAACTATATAAAAGATTTATGAAAAATTAGAAATGTACAAAATTGGATAAAACAGAAGAAAACGAAATAAAAATTGCGTGTAAAATATATTTCATGATAAAATTTATATTGCTGAATTTCTTGTTGAAAAACTTGCATTCATGTAGAAAACAAATATCTATTTTTCATTATTCATACTTCATAACTTATTTTATTAATTATTTTATTTTAAATTTTTCGCGCGTGTGTGTCGTTCTTTTACATAAAATATATATTTTATATAAAAATCTTTATACGTTTACTTTTGATTTGTAATAAATCGTTAGATATTTTAATTTCCGATTATTTACACAGCATTATTATGTTCTTGCGTAACACACATTATAAAAGAAAATCATAAAATCATGAGAAGAAGCAAAAAGTGTATGTAAATTGTGAGACATAAGAAAATCACGAAGTAGTTCAAAAAAATATTTAAAGAGGTTGTGAATGAGTTAAACATTATATGAACAAAAGATGTTTATGCTTCATAATATTGAACTGTTGTAATATTAATACTATTTCCTTATTACCAACAATGAAAAGCACGATAGTGACAGTGATGCTGATAATGATGATCCTCGACTTCACATTTTGTAGCCACGCTTTTCGTTGTGCTCTCCTCGCGGCTTCCCTAAATTCGTTACCGGCCATGTTTAAACGATCGCTTGCATCCTGGAGATCCTCCAATCTGTCGCCACGATCCATTACTTTTTGCACATTATCTCGCATTATATCTGTCACCTCTTGAATTTGCAGCTTGACGCTTTAAATAAAAAACAGATTAAATAAAGAATAAAATTAAAATTAAACATTTTTCAGTTAGAAAATAATCACACTGTAAATATAACAGCAAAGTATGTTTATAATAAGTATAGTTCTAATTATTAAAAAGACAAATTATTTTATTCTAATTTAAAGTATATTTTATATTCTATTCTATTTGAGAGTACCTTAATTAGAAAATATACATTTTTCCTTCGAAATACACTTATTTCAATTCTTAAAATATAAAAGGTATATTAAAAGTATATTATTGCTGACCTGTCCATTTTATTGTCGACTTTTTCTTCCTTATTCGACGTGCTCGGCCGACTGCAATTGTATGTTAATATACATTAGTATATTTTTTGCAACAACTTATAGAAAAATATGGTAAAAGTCAAATTTATTACATGTAAGACTTCAATATATAAACAAAGGCAAATTTATAATAAAATTAATAATTTATATTAAAACTTAAAATGAAAAATAGTACTTTATATTAACTGTAATAATAATCATTATTTTATGTCAAACATAGTTATTAATTTTGGTATGATTTTTCTCAAAAATTGGCTCTCATTTTTACAGAAAAAATTGGTAACATTTTTACAATACTAAAGTAATTATAATTAAATTAAATTTTCTTACGTAAATAACATTTCCTCGTCGTAATCGCTGTCATGTTCCAACAATGTCTCCTGCGAAGCACAAACATATGTTAAATTTCCCGCCAAATATGCCGACATTTCAAGGCATTGCGTGTTTGCATTCTTCGTACATGCCGATACAGTGATGAAGAGTACTCACTTTTTCATCTTTATCCGCAGTTTTAATGTCTTCTTTAGATAAACTGCGTTTACCAGACGACAACATATCTTTAGGAAAATTAGATTCACGCGTTATACACGGGCTGCAAATGATCGATTCGCGCAACTAAATGATTCTTTCACCGTTCAGAATTTAACCATCCACGAATACTCAGCCATTTTGACAGAAACCATCCTGTTTTACCGGCTTTGTGACAGTACAATACACAAGCTATGGATCAATATACTACAACGAGAGATATCGTAAAGCGCAATTTGTATTTATAATAAGGAATAACACGATAACGTGTCCTTAGCAAAACGAATCTATGCACATTATACATAGAAATAATCAATTCGTTAAATAATTTCTTTTATTATTCAGGATTGAACTGTCGATGGATACTCAGTCATTTTAACAGAAACCATCCTGTTCTACCGGTTTCGTGACAGTTACAAAATAGTACACATATGTGGATTAATATAGCAGAGGGCAGTATCTAGTGAAGCAATAAAAAACATATGTAAAAAACATATGTCAAAAATGAAATTTATTTTTTGGTAATATGTTATATTTAAAATTTTTAACACAGAACTTATTGTTTTAAAAAATTAGATGTATTATTTTTTGCATGTTACTTTTATTTTAAACATTTATATTCAATTACAGAGAAATACATAGTAACATAGTATATAGCGCAAACAATAAAAAAATTATTTGATTGTCGTACAGACGTGCAAGGGTTCGCATAAAACATCATAATACAATAGACAAATATTTTTTAAGTCTTTTATACACACAATTATGAAATAATTAAAACAAGAGAAAATATAATAATGTATAGTTTTCATAAAATTGTTGTGTATTTTTTTTATTATAAATTTTTTTATTATAAATAAATAATTTTTGCATTTATATAAAGAAAGAACAAAAGCCACAAATAATTAAAAGACTTTGTGACATTTGTTAAAATTATAAATTATCATTTAAATTGTGTTTTTAAAAGTTAAAAGATATTTGTATACATCCACGTGAGTTACAGAAATGTAATAATTTCCCCATGCACATATTTTAAAATGTCCTTAATATAGAAATATTTTTATAGAGTAAAAATCGCACTTCAACACGTGAATATTAGATTACAATAAAGAGAACGCGAGTATGTATATTTATACATAATTTTATAAAAATAGACGAGCTTTGTGGCGGAGATATTTTTGTCGCTGAGGTATGCTTATTAGTTTTAATTTCGTAAAGTAATGAATGATACCTGTGCTTTTCGATATTATTGATTTACATTGATTTGTTATTCTTATAGCTCTCTCTTCGGAAGAGACTGTTATATCTTGCGAGATTACACACACTGTTTTAAATTCCATCGGAAATTGGAAACCGACTTTCGCTTTTATATCAACGTATGTATTCGCTTCCAATCGAGTTTTCCTCTCTTAATGTACGATACAATACTGTACTATATAGATAATTTTCTATTCGTGTGAATAATACGTTCTCAAAAACTAACGCATGAATCCGTGTCTTAATAAAAATTCCTATAAAATCGCCTAAAGCAGCCTCATATATTTTAGCCGAAAAAAATAAAAACATTTTTATAAAGTTAATTTATAAAATAAAAATTTTAATAAATGAAAAAAAGATAAAATTATATTTTATATTATAAATAGAAGACAAAAGATTTAAAATAACATTTAATTTAAAGATTTTTTGTTTCAATTTAAAGATTGTTTACATAAATAAAGTAATATGAAATTATCATATTATATTTTTACACAATTTGTAGAACGCATTATCCATGCAAAGCAATAACTATTCGCGTTCTTCGTTATGCTTTCATGTTCAAACACATATTCAGTCAACACGCATCGATCTTAGGACTATAGTAATCCACGAAAAGAAATACGACAAAACATATAACAGATAGAATAACATCTAAACTTGAAGCCGAAAACGCACGCAGTTTCACTTCTTGTTATAACATCCGTATATCAATCTATAACTACTTTCATATATATTCAAAAAAATGGAAGATGGCTCTTGATAAGAGTAGGTGGAACGATATGTATAGCACCATTTTACAGCATAATTCTTCCATACGCATTATCGCGATACAATTGTAAATACATTACGCTTATTTCAAAATAATATATGCTCACATATGGTAACCGGAATGTTTATATGTATGTACGTATATAATTAGGTATATGCTCAGAGACATCTCGGTCTCCTACTTTACTTTTATACGACTTTAGGCCGCGTCTACTTGAACGCATTATTTTCCGTCAACAAACGTGACGAATAATATAAATTGGGAGTTGGAATACTTCATTTCGAGAGGAAAATAAGAAGCAATGTCTCATCGATAGGTCGACATCACTCTAATAAGCGCGAAACATTTTAAATCTTTACATCTATGTAGAGAAATCCGATAGGTAAACTTGCATAATGTTTAGTGCAGTCAAAAAACGACTTTTAGCATGCTCTCTGATAGAATAACAAGCTAAATTTATTTTACACGCCGATATGCAAATATATACGTAGCTTGTAATTGAATTGGAAATTTGCAAGCGATTAGAATTAGGAATACAGTCTTATGAGCGATTTTTGTAGAAGAAAGTCTTAAACATGTTATACTTTAGTATTCATCTATAGAATCAATTAATTCGAAATTTTAATGACGATGGAGACTTGTCTTTAACTTGATTACAATAGAAATAGATAATTTTTAGGGTTACATCGAACAATATTGAATGAAAACGAAGATAAAAGAAAGAAAAAATATACACATTTTTTAGTAATTGACAAGAATGCATTTACATTCATTCATATATATCCATCAAGATTTAAATTTTTAATTAATACTAGAATAATTCGAGTGATAACATAGAAAAACAATATCAATTCTCTTCTATTATTTTGAAACACGAGTAAAAAAATTACACAGTAAAAAACAATATCAATTTTCTCTTCTATTATTTTCAAATATAAATAAAAAAAATTGCACACGTAAAAAACAATGAAAGGAACAATTTAGAGGCACACACTTTTCCTAATAACTTATAAATATCTGCAAACGTGACATTATTTTTATTTACTGCTAATAATGGAAAATTATAGCGATTAATATTAACTGCAATGTTAGTGTGCAATGATAAAATACAGGCAGCACTTTAGTTTATTCCAGTGTTTTACAACTTTAGTTAAGTAATTCCGATTAACTGTTCATATCTAGGTTAGGCCATCGTGGCTATAAATATACCGATGTAGACAGGAAATGAAAATTTAGATAATTGCGGAAGTTAAAAAATGCAGCAAAAATGTCAGACCTGACCTTTAACATTGTTCTACCAATAATATTATTTTATTCTATATGAGATGTGCCATTATATAAGTATTACGAATATTAGGATAGATTCATGCTTTATAAAATAAAAAGACGACCAGCGTCACGATCGGACGAATCCTGCGTCCCGCGTAATAAAATGATATACATATATATGAACAATTATTATATCGTATGATCACCTAATGTTGCCATCAATAAAATAGTTTCTATTTTACCTATTGAGATTTAATTTCATAATCGATTATGATGAACGATAGTATTTTGCAAAGGTCTATTTTTCTTTTTACGAAATGTTAATGTAATGTAATTATATATTTTGATTTATTTATAATTATAGTTGGAATATAATTCTGTCATAATGTTTACTGCATTTTGAATTAATATTCAGGCATTTACAAATAATAATAAATGATATTTTCGATTAAATATTTAAAGATTCAGTTATCTAATGAAATATAGTTGCAAATATCATTTATTATTATTTAAACTCTAATTTCTTACTTATTTAATCTATATTTTTATTTCCGCGATCTCTAATATTCAACGAACCGATATGCATATAAATATCTTGAAAAAATTGTATCGTGAGCATCGTTATTATTGTGATGCATATATTTGTCAAATTAAAATGCGTATTATTCAATTTGATGAACTTTTATATTAATTAATTTTTTAAATATATTCCAATTACGTGTACACCCATAATTATTGCATATAATTTTTCTACGATTATTTTGCATTTATTATTAGAATGAGATGTACATACGCATTTCGCGACAACAAAATTAAATTATAACAAATTATACTATGATATTTCAAAGATTGACGCTAATATCTGAATTACAATCAATTAACCTTTTTTTATGAAATAACATTCACAATTTTGTGCGGAACATTAACTTTTTTTCTCCTTACAATCTCACCAGTCTCGTTTTTTAGTTGAAATCTCGTTTTGAAATATCGAGGAATATTTGGCCAGCAATCGCGTCGTTTAAAAAGCGGCTTTATTCATAAAACGCAATTATATTGGAGCGCCGATCCCAATCGTATATAAGATCGAACGCACATTCATTAGATTCTAATAAATAATCAAATCGCTGCATTGCAGGGATAGCGCGTTATTTTGTACCTGCGCTGTCATTTATCTCGCGCTCGAACGGAACCTGATCCTGTCTAAGATTGTTTTGTAATAAGATTGTTTTTTCTTATATTATAATTTTTAATTCGCGCGCGCGCATACGCACACAAACTCATACGCACATACATGCATGTTATAGATCTTATTTCTGTAATCACGATAACGTATATTGGGACTCGGTATCCACTTCGTGCTCAATCCACTCTTACCTGTTAGTCTCATACACTCCACTATATGAGCACGTGCGAGACGAGAAAACGAGACGTCGAAGGTTGAGAACCCACTTAATCCTTTAATCAGGTATATCCATCTGTGACCTTTTTCCTGTCGAGGCACGTTCCCAAGGGATACATTGCTTGAGTGTGTTTTACAAGGCTTAGTAATATATACGTATATTTTAATTCGTAATTTATTAAACCCATCACGAAGACTCATCTATTGCGAATAATATTAAATAATATTAAATAATAAAAAAAATTAATTTTATTATCAACGGGTCTTATTTTGTAGTCATTTATATATCAACGTATAAAAATAATATTATTATACTTTATGAAATTTATTTATTATAAAATTAAAATTTTTGTGAGCTGATAATAATTAAAGTAATCGTAATTTTATTATTAAAAAATGATATTTTCTGATGTATATAGTTACAGAAAACTTTAGTATTGTTAATATGTTTTAATATGTTTAGTATAGTTTTAATCTTTTTCATATTAGAAAGTCCAAAAAATAATAAGAATATTTCATAAGATAATTTCTTTGCCTGTATCTCTTCGTCGTTTATTTCATTTTAATGCCCAATTCGCAGAAAATTTAAAAGAAATTAATGATATATAAAACAAAGTTTTGTATGTGTTTGATATCAATGCGAATTACTCTGCAGGTGTACGATAGAGATACATCGGATAATGTCAAAGATCTATTGCAGGAACGCGCAAGAACAAAGATCTGAATAGAACGTATACGACCTATGGGTCGTAACAGCGACTCCTTACCAGGACACATAATCAGTGCGCAAGCCGTAAAATCGTTACGATCTTCTAACTGGCAAAGTTTTGTCCAAATTGGAGTGGCATAAACCTCATAATATCCGCGAAGATAATAAAAAATGAAAATGTCAATGTATAACCTTCGCAGAGAAGCGTCGCGTTTACCTCTTCGATCTCAATTAGCATTCGTGTTTCTGCTCGAGAAACATTCCTCGAGAAACATTCCTCGTAAAAGGGATCCTTTCTTGTCATTCCTGCTTTCCCTTCTCTATATCCTGTCGCAATATTTCACAGCACGTGTAAATTCTCACAGCTCTTGCTCTTACTATCATTTAAGCACATCTTGTTGAGAATTTCCCTAGCAAGATTCAGACTTAGAACGGTTTTGCTATTGTGTAGCCTCGACAATAGCTTGCTTTTGCTGCCCTGACGTCGAAGTTTCTTTTCACGGGTCTCTCTAAGGCGGATTTGCTTCAGAACGCCGACCAGAAGCTCGTCCACATTATGCTTGAGCCCGCTAGATGTTTCAATAAATTTGCATTCGCGCGATGTGGCCAACTGCTTCCCGTCTTTAACAAATTGCAATTTCAAAATAATTGAAATTCCACGCAAAAAATCGATAAAATCCGATTATATTCAGTCGATTTTAAATTACTTATGCAAAATCTAAAGAGTGGATAAATCTAATAAGAGAGAATATATAATCAACATACACAATTATTTATAATTATAAATTTCAAATACTCTTTTTTTGCATGTAATTCATATTAACATTATTTACTGCAAATTAAATTTTCCATTTCTTAAATTAAAAATTATATATAACAAGCAAATAAAATAAAAGCATAGAAATGAAGTAAAAGCATTGTCTACAAATTTTATTCGCAGTATTTTTTTTACCATTTGCCGAAATTATCCGACTTCTCGCGAGGTCAGACTTGTTGCCAACAACGATGACTGTATGTTCCTGAGTGTAATGTTCTTGCCACAGATAATTTAGTATCTCTTCAGCCACTTGAAAGCTCGTACGTGAAACAATTGAATAAACCACGATGCAAGCATGTGGCTCGTATGTCGACAAAGAGTTTTCGACCTAAGAGATTTTTAAAAAATTTTTATATATATTCTGACATTCATCACATAAAATGAGATTAAATGACTTTAAACGCTTACAGCTATAAATATTATGTGAATGTCTTCTTTTATAAAATTATAAATAATTTTATTTACGATGCTATCTCTTTCTCTTATTTTTTGTTATTTAAAAAAATTTAATCAAATTAGCTGTTAAAGTCATAAGTTAAAATAATAGATTATTAATCCACATAATATAATTCAAAATATATTTGCAATTATAAGTGACAAATAGCATTATAAGTTTGATACTGTATTCATCTTCAGTAGATCTTCGGAAGAAATTGAAAAAATGCATGACAGAAGATTTTAAAGTTTGACTGAGTTAAAACTTCAACCGAACAAAACTCCTTAATCAAGTAATAATGCGACAAGTTGCAATATATTGTAGACGAGAAAACAAACTCGACAAAATGTTTAGTTTAAAAACTTACATAAATAATAACTAATAAATAATAATTTTGCGAAAAAATATTTTAACGATTGTTTCAATGATTTTTATGACAATAATCATTTTTATCAATCAAATTTTACATATTACACAAAGCAATATAAAACTTTCGAATACTTCAATTATGATTTATATATTATTCGTATAATAGCTTTTTTATATTGTAATTGTTAAAAATTGCCTTTGAAATTGTCTTTGATTTTCTTATCAATGTCGTTATTTATAATATCTATATCGCGTTAATATAATATCTATATCGCTTCTTGCAAAATCAAATTGCACAAATACAAGTAATTTAGTGAACTTTGCAACTACAATATTAAAGTTACAATCCTCGTCGATTTACGACTTGGTACATGAAATTCGCATTAACGCACGCTGAGCGGACTTGGATAGGTAACTCGACAAATCCCGAGAATAATTCAGATTAAGAAAGTCAATTTAACATGGATGTCGAAGTATAATTCAGGATGGATTTTGTTCAAAATTCAATTATATAAAAGCAAACTTTTAGAGAAAGTTAATTTCGTTTGTTACAATTAAATTACAAATTATTAATGCGCGTTTATATTTAGTTTTAAGAAATTACATCTATTGATATGCTATTGTGACATAAAAAAAGAGAGAAAAACGAGGTAATCAACAAAAATACATTAATAATTATTTTCTCTAAAAAGTTTCAACTTTAAAAAAATTTGATATTAAAAAACCACTTTATATTTACAAAGAAAAGAATGGTATTCTTTAAAATAAATTATAAAATGCATCGCTTTTGCAAAAAATTTCTCGCAATTTCTTTTGCGTATTTCTCTGAATTTGATTCAAGACTATCACTATATTTTATGTTATTACTCTCTAATTCCATTCTTTGATCTCTTATCAATTTTAATGAGTTTGCTTTTATCTAATTTCGTAGCAATTACGTAAAATAATCTGAGAATGTCATCCTCTCGTCATCGCGATAAGAAATAGAAATAATTAAGACATTCTAAAGGCAAATAGAATAAAGAACAATTTTCACCAACAATGGTAATGGCAATAACTTTGCTTCTCTCACCGACAAAGTACATAATATATAACTAAAATAAAAAAAATATTACTTAATCTCTTAATTTGACTTGATAAAAGAAATAATCGTGTCTTTAATTATAATGAAAACTATAAATAGAATATGAAGTAATAAAATTTTAAACTGAAATCGAAAATCTTCAAATAAAAATTAATTTAATACATAATAAAGGAAAAAGAAAAAGAAAGAGAGAAAAAGAAAGAGAATGAAAATACAAGTATAATTGATAAGAATAATATATCCTGTACATATATTCACTTTCTCTTTCTTTTATCTCTTTTGTATTATATTTTTTAATTATAAAATAGCACACAATTATAATGCGTCGCATTAATATGAATTCCAGAAAAATTCGCCTGTGACACAAGAATTGCGAAATACACAGATACAGCAAAATTCATCATGTTTAACGAGAAGAATTTATTGAATGACATTCTCAGTCATATATTGTATGAGAAACAATTCTAAATATCACCACGAATCCTTCATTCATAAGCAAAATTATACATTCCGACAACACTGCACAATATATTGAGTTAATGAAAAGATTCTGCTTTGCAGATAATGCGTAAGATACTTTAAGATATTAAAATCGAAGGAGTAGTTTAATATGCTAGCAGTCAATATTTATCTAAGCCCAAGATTGATGAAATTGTAATGCTATGCAAAATTTTCCTAAGTTCTATAGAGTTTGTTAGGTACATTAGAATTAGAGACAAAGGTCTACCTCAAGGCTTTATATAAATATTAATTAACTAAAGATATAAGAAATTATGTGCATATTGTACATATAATAATAAATAATGAATAAATAAATTTAAAAAAATATATATACATAGATATAACTTTATTATACTAATACTGCTATAACTTTATACGCATAATATAATATAATATAATAAATAATAAGATTATTGTTTATATAAATTTTAAAAATAATTTAATACTCACGCTCATTTCAACATGCGGATGATCGATAAAGATCATTTCCGATTCCTCGCCATCTAACAAAATAGAAACGGTTTTCTCTCCGAACTCATCATCTGCAATATAAAAATGAAAGTCTGTGCTAAATGTTGTTGAATATTATTTAACTTGTGATTCATGCCATATAAAAAGAATATATCAAACATTAAAAAAGTTTTCATTCTATCTCATAATCTTTCTATGCTATGTAATGTTTATTTAAAAATATATTATCATAAATGTTTATTTAAAAGTACATTATTATTCATTATATATTATCATTCATTATTATTATTCATTATATATTATCATTCTAAATATATACGTACTCATTTAGAATGTAAATAATTGTAAGCTAATGATAACCTAATTTGATATCATTAGATGTGCTTTACAAGTCAAACAATAGTAATTAATATAAAATTCAATTATTGTTCTTATATATTGTTCTATTCAAGTTATTTAGTGAATTTTAAGTCATTTAATATACGTATATCTTATATAATTTCTAATAATAATAAACAGATGTCCACTTCTAAATAATTAATAAATAATTGAAATTTTTAATTGATGAAATCTCTTAATGATCAAGATTGTATGATATACATACATAAATATGCATTTAGGTCACACAAATAAGCAAACTTGCTTTTTGAAAAATCTATTTTATTAAACTGGTAGACACATTTGAAAATATATTATTATTTCTTAATTTGTGATAATCTTAACCCACGATTCATTAATTTTTCATAGAAAACGTTCAGTTTGACAGTAAAATAATTTTATCTCTATCTATAAAGGATCAACCATTGAGTTGAACTATATTTCGTGAACTATTTCATTACTTATAATGATGGCAAATCGATCACAAGAACTCTGCAAAAAAATAAATTGCACTGAGATAAATATAAACTATTTTGATCTTAATGTCGATTTTAATTCAGAGAAGGAATTGAAGAAAAAAATGTTCATAGAACAAGAAAGAGTGAAAAATAAAACATAATGAAATACTGCATAAAAATTATCATATAAATACAAATTTAGAATAGAAATATTTATGAGCTTATTTTTTTCTACTGTAATATTTTTATTTAAAAAAGATACAAAAATACATACAATTATTATTCATAATAATTATAGATAATCTCTTTTTCTTTTTTTAGAATATATTCTAGAATATATTCTAAAAAAAGAAAAAGAGATTATCTATCAAATTTTGTCCGTTTTTTTCAATTTGTAATAAAACTAAAATGATCTTGAACTCTTTCTTAAAATAAAACTTTATCGTATAAAATAATTATCTAACTAAAAATATTTAAATAACTTACATCATAGAAGACCTAATGGAACTGATTAAAGTTTGAACAAGCAGCAAAAGTTTCAAGGAGGAATGTCAAACTAGTTTAGTATAGTTAATATGCTATACAAACTTTACAATTTGTCGCATACAAGTTTAAACATCATTAGCGATCCCAAATTATGACTTATTTTTACGAATCCATATTTTCTCATTATTCCCGATCGACCCGAAATATAAATACGGAATCAATATACAAGGTATTTTGAAACGATTGTGTTAAACAATTTAAAATCTATCGATCATATCTAACCAGATACGATATATTCTCCTTTATTTTCCAGCATTTTCTTTATCTGAGAAAAACGAATCTATCATTGATTGTTTCTCCTTAAACTTTTACATTTCCAGATAGCGATAAATTGAATTTACTTGTAACAGACTATATGGAGTATTTTGAGTATATAAAGTAGATAAATAAACACGCAAGGAAAGAATATAAGTTGCATTTCAGCTACAGCAAAAGAGATTGTACAGATGCACTTTATATAAAATGGCAAATGCAGGGAATAAACATGTATTTTATTAAATTATCAAAGTATAGAAAAATATGATATTATTTGATTTACATTTCTTGTTCACAATCATAATTTTAATAACAGACTATTCTTCTCCTAATATATCTTTTTAGAAAATATTCTCATATGTATTAAAAAAATATTAATCTGTCTTTTATATATAGCAAAATATTTAAAATATTATAAAAGAAATGATTTCATAATTTTCGCTAAGACTTTTCATCAAACACAAATCCAATAAAAACGAAGAGATCTTGCAAATGAAATATCATAAAAACATTACATTAAAATAATAATTTGAAATAAAATCTTTCCAATAAAGTTATTTAAAGGTTCGACAATGACTCATGTAATGCGAGGCTCTTGAATAACCAGGATTAACATGATGAAAAGTTGCATGCGAGAGGGATGCATCCTCGTGAACTCTCGATATTGCGCACCGCGCGTTCTTACACGTGGCGTTTATGCACGTGTATGACCGTTTGCAATCACATAAGGGAATGAATATACGAAGCGCAGTATTGCGCTTGTGTGCAAAACCCCGCTTCGTACACTGGAAATTATTGGTGCTGCAACATGCTGTGACCGGAATTGCGTGAGGACGCAGAATTGGCCTCTTCATGCAATGTGCCTGTCGAGTTTCAAAGCCGCGCGATCCAGCGTGGTGCAAAACGAGTAAAGTGAATTTTTCTCTCCGCGTTATTATTAACTACCTTTGCTTTTCAGAGAAGTGGGCGTAACGTGTCTGCGCCCCGCGCAAACCGAGAGATTGGTTACACCATATGTCTTTAAGCACGTTAGTTTTAATTAAAAGTTAATTAAATCAGAAAAGGTTAATTAAATAGCAAAAGTTCCATTTGATCGATTCTATTTTATTATCGCGCAACAAATTTGCGTGCAAACGAAGTATAAAAATACAATAAACATTGGCGATAAACTTCGAGAGAACAAAATCTTATCTTTATCAACTGGCATTATTATCTTAACAAAGGAGAAATTGTTCAATATATCTGTTCTGGATGTGTATTTATGTAGAAATATATAGGATGTTTTAAATTTCTTACTTTTTTGGTAAATAATAAAAAATTAAAGAGAGAGGGAATTTAAAAACTTCGATAAACAATTACGTCTATTAAAAAGAGAAAGAATTGCTTGAAATTATTCCAATGCATAACCATCCTTTTGAAACACACTTTCAAGTGAATTACATCAAGCGTCGTGCTGCAAAATCCTATATCACAGGTAGAGGACAATCTATCCTTTTAATGGAAAATCTTAACTCCCCACGTTTCTTGTTGAAGGATATCGCGGTATTGTTTTACGTGCGAGGATGCACAAACTTACCTAGACTGGCATCATACGTATTTATGTATTCACTCGTCATGAATTGCGAGACCAAAGCGGTCTTTCCCACACCGGAGTCTCCCAGCAAGATTACCCTATACTTTGAAATAGTTTCCTCAATGTCGCTATCGGTGCTAGCGTCTTGCCCGCTACAACAAGAACCTTCAAATGGTGATTTCTCTCCTGACACGTTGCTATTTCTGGAAACAGAAGGAAAAAAATATTGAGACTCGTGATAATCACATATAATGAAATATTTAAAATATTAATGGAGATAAGTGTTATATAGATTAATGCCAACATCATCAAAATGAGAAAGAAAATTATTTTTCTAATTAATATCTATTCGCTTGTAAAAAAGAATAAACAAATTTATTCGTATTCTCGTAAAACGTAAATGTTCTTATAAATAAGTTTTACAATGATATCAATCTTATCAGATAGAGTTCTTTTTATTTATAAAATAACGATTTGGAGAATATGAAGTATATAATCTTTCTCGTAGTAAATCTTCATATCTCTATCTTTATATCATATGTTTACTTATCACATTATTTAAATTCATGCAGAATTATTTTGCTCTTGCTTTTATCTCTTGTATCACGTCGAGAATATGAAAAATGCATCCTCGTTTTTTTCTATCTTTCATATCCCTGCCTTCCACCTTTACGTCTTATGCAAATTTGTCCGCAAAAGAAACCTTTGCTAATGTATAATATGATTATGTGTATTCTTTTGAACATAGATATACATAATATACATAAATAATAATTAAATTTTTTATTTAGATAATTAATCGTCACGATTTTCTCTTCAATCTTTTCAGAATTATCGCATTTTATTCGTCCGCTAATGTACAATGATATATGAGTTGCTTCGTGTATTCCTTAATACCTATACATATTTATCAATGTATGAAAGTATATACAACTAATGCAAATAATGTGTTTTTATATACGGGTAGATTGTATTCGCTTTTGTTAGAATAAGAATTCTTCCTCAATATTATATCACAATTTTAAATAATAAAGGAAAAAGTTTTTTCTCGAAAGTTTCAGCGTCGTTTAATCCTTAGATTTTTTTATTAAATTAACTACATTAGTCTTTCAAAAATTAACTATTTTGACAAAGTCATTAATTCTTTACATTAATTTTTCCTAGGAGCCTTTTAAGTATTTTGGAATCTCATAACCATTATATTCCTTTATTAAGTAACATTGTATACATTTGGCCGAACATCGGTTTAATCGCACAATAAATGCTATTGCAATAAGCTACCGTCTATAAGCATACATATATACATATAGTATACATATGTACATAGGTTGCATATAACATCATTGTTCGAACAATACCACAACTTCGAGTTAACTATTGGTGCCACCTGTAATAATTATCGCGTTTTACTCGTTTGCCAGTGTACAATATCAATCCGATGGATTTCGGCGTCCTCCAATGGCCGACAAACCGAAGCTTAACTTTGATAAGTTCGCAGATTACAAATGTCAACCGTAATACTCGCGCAGAAATGATATGCAATTATTCATAAATCAAATTTTGAGAAGAAAATTTAATTGTGCATACAATCAGTGCAGTATATTTCATAAATACGTATTAATAATCAATCTCGCGATTATGAAACGTTTTATATGATTAACATTATTAATTATTATTTTACAGAATAAACTAAAAAAGAGAGCAAACAGTAGTTCAATTTATAGTAGAAAAATGTAGTTCAATTTATCGTTAAATCGCTTGCTCGTTAAAGTTACAACATGTGTATATACCCGAGACTATATACAAGAGCCATCGTTATATTTAAAATCAGACAGTAGTACATAAATAACACAAGTGCTGATGTTATATCAAAGTTCCTACACGGGATTATTCTCAATAATATGCTTGCTACAGTAAGAACACGGAAATAGAAGCAAAAATATGTCTGTTATCAATCAAAATAATCTTGTCGATAATATCTTAAAATGATTCCTCGTTAAATCGTTCATTTAAAGTAAAATTCCTTACAAACATATATATATCGATCATATTTCATCATGTTTTAATATTTTAAATCTATTATAAACTTGCATGAGAAATATAAATATAAATATATAAAATATAAATATATAAAATATATATAAAAAAAAATGTGAAATATATATTTTCTAAAAAATGTATTTAAGTAAATATACATTTTAATATCTGCGCATATCTATTTATTTAACCATGTTTAATAATGATATATGTATAATGATATATGTATTCTATTAAAATTATATGTTGTTACTTTATATAAATCTACTATAATTTACGCATATTTTTGCAATTATATACTAGAGATTAGATTTGCTATTATTAGATTTGCGTACAAAACGTCAAAAATAATATTGTTAATTTAATTATTAAATTTTTATTCTGTGAGCAACAATAAATTTTATTTTATCTTAGACAAAACATGTATTAAAGTATCGATAACTCGAATTTAATCGATATAATAAGATTATGAAAATAATTTCTAAGAATTTACACATGCGAAGCCAACACTTAATTTTCAGTTATGAAGTCAAGACTACAAATCTCAATGAATTTACATTATATTTCCAAGAACATTTTCCGCCTGATTTTCTACCCATGGCACATTTTCTGCTCATGGAAATATCCAATTACGCGATTTACACGCAGACAAATCGAAAGATATTCACATTTCTCCAGAAGCTAACAAGGCTGTGTCCCTTCTCTTCATCACTGCTGTTATTCCGAGCAGATGAATATGATATAATATCTCAAAGTCATTTCGTTTTACGTAATTTTCTTTAGTGCTTCCCTTAAAGAATCAGATAATATATATATCAAATATTATTTTTGGAAAAAGTGACGCGAATTTTTACAAAATAATAGATGCAGTAATAAATTAATATTAAAAAATGGAAATTAAAACAATATAAATTGTAATTAAAAATAATTTTGAAATTGTGTTTTATTTCTTATTTTTTATTTTTTACATTTTTTGCATTGTTAATTTTTGTAATAAATAGAATGAAATTCCATTTTTTTTGTAAATGAATGAGTTTGTAGATCAGATTTGTATAAAAATAATAATAGAAAGTATTAAATAGAAAACTCAACAAAGCTTAAAAGTAAACATTTTTCTAATGTCTTCATCAATGCATTTCCATCATTCTCGCAACATTTCTTTTCAAAAAACCTATCTCGAGGCAACAGCATATTATCCACACCAATATTATAACTCATCGTAAATTAATGTTAAATTATTATAATGTCGGAATAGAAAGCTTTGTATTGCAAAACAATGATTTTAAAATAGTTTTATATTTTCAATTTTTCTCTATCAATTTGCTATTTTGTTATAAAAAAAATCTATTTGAATTAAAAAGAAGAATGTGAAATCGCGTCACTTAAGGAATTAAAGAGAAAGAATTAAAGAGAATTTTGCAGATTCCTTCAAAAACGATATATAATTTTTTTTCAATAATTCGCAAATTCATGTTAAATTAAAATCCCATATTGTTTGCGAGCATAAAAGCGATGTTTTTCCTAGTGACTTCACATCAATGCACTGACATCAATAAAGTTTATGATTCAACTGCGGAAAAATTCTTCGGAATATCTAAATAGCGTGAAGAGTAATGGTGTAAAAGCTCAGCAGAACCCTCGATCAAGCCTCACAGGTATACGTCGACCCGATCGTTTGCCTCAACTGAAATCAATTTTTCCTACAATTAAATTTGAAGATCACGAAGTACATTAAACATTTATGAGTTTCTTGCCATAGACACGATAAGTGAGTCAGCAGAAAGAGCCGAATTTCTCTCCCGGAAATATATTTTGTTACTCTGCGCAGTAATGATCAAATCTGTATATTACATATGAGAAAAACCGTTATAAAATATTATAAAATCAATGTCAGTGGTAATATTTAATACTATTTTATTAATTATTTATTATTTGATTAAAAAATGGTAATATAAACTATCTTTGTCAAACGCGAATACAAAGAAACAAAAGCGCGTATATAGATAATACGAATTACACGACTGCATGAACATCTATTATTAATCTCACTACAAAATCAGAAGTAACAATTTCATCACTCACCGTAAAATAAAATCTCTTGTGAATATTCACATGTGTTTCATTTCGGCGAATTCATTTCGCTGTATGCGTAACATATTGTTACAATAACGATTGTCTCTTCGACTCGGATGTAAAACAAAAGAATTCATTTTTTTGTTAACAAGACCACTAAATAAAAATGTCGGATTTATTGAATATAACGTTGAAAGTAGAAATAATTCCTGAAATCTACCGATTGACTTTGAAATTCAATTAAATGTAACCATTACGTCATTAAAATCTTGTCTATAAAACAAGTTAAGTTGAATTTTTTGCTTATCTTGAGATTTCTATTGAATATTTTATTCGACATACACACACAATTTCTATTTGTATTAAAATAATATTAGCGTAATATAATAATAATCTTACAGTTATAAAAGAATTTAATGAAGCTATTAACGATCTTTGCAAGAAGATTTTAAAATTCAATATAGCATAATACTTAATTTAAAAATAAGCGATTTTTTTCAGACATTACACTGATGTTATCATAGATCGTGCGTACAATTTTAAAGAAATTATTCGAGCAGTAATTTATAATTAGTGGCAAAACCTGATACTGCAACTAAAGAGATATGCGATATAGTTAAATTTCACCGTATTTCCTCGCTAAGCTCGCTGATCCGTAACCGCTGTACAATCCAAAAAGGCTATTACTATAGAACCCCCTGGGCTGGATGGGTTATACGATCGCCAATGTCCATGACCCGAAAAGGTCGCGCGGTTGATCTATTGTTCGTGAAAGTTACGAGTCCGAAGCGATCTATGTATATTGCGCGTCAAAAACCAAGCGTGTGCTTTTACAAATGATTTGTATCGAAAATATTGCACAAAATAAAAACTTCAAATTTTTTATGAGAGAAAATAAAAATATAGGGGAAAAATCTTTCAAAATATCAAACAAAAGTAAATTCTTATTGAACGATTCTTAAAGTCTCCCAACTAACGAAAAATATATTATTTAATCAATAACAAACTCTTAAAAAATTATATTCTTATGAAAGTTTGTCAAGTATATATCATGTGGTCAAGTATTATATCATATAGGAATTTAATAGGAATA